TAATGTAAATGAATGACATGGCCATATTAACTCTACATATAAAATATATTATAACATATTTATTTTACAGATAAAAATGTTATACATTTTAATCAGTAATACATTTTATTGTAATTATTTTTAAAGTAGTCATCATTTTTTATTGTTTTATTATTACTGTTATTATTCATTCATTCATTTACTTTTCAGCTTAGTCCCTTTATTAATCAGGGGTCGCCACAGCGGAATGAACCACCAACTTATCCAGCATATGTTTTACACAGCTGCAACCCAATACTGGGAAACACCCATACACACTCGTTCTCTCACACACACTCTCTACACTGGTTTATTAATTCCCCTATAGCGCATGTGTTTGAACTGTGGGGGAAACCGGAGCACCCGGAGGAAACCCACACCAACTCGGGGAGAACATGCAAACTCCACACAGAAACCCCAACTGACCCAGCCGAGACTCGAACCAGCGACCTTCTTTGCTGTGAGGAGATTGTGCCACCCACTGCACCACCGTGACACCACAATGATAATGGTTTAATTAAACATTCATTTAATTTTAATTATTAAAATTATTTAATTACTTGTTTTATTGTTTATTATTATTATTAATATTATTATTACAGATTAATAAAGGCACTAAGCCGAAAAGAAAATGAAAAAATAAAATGTTATAAATTTTTAATCAATAATAAGTTTAATTGTGATTATTTTTTTAAATAGTGATATTTTGTATTGTTTTTAATTATTTTTATTATCCTAATTTATTACTAGAACTTATGATTAAATTATTGGGGATTTTTAAAAGTAATAGAGTAAATGTAAATGAGTGAAATGTCCATATTTACAGGTGTATTATTGTTTTTCCTCCATCAGTGTCTGTTGATGCCGCCCAGCGGCGGTGGTTCTCCTCAGTTCTGCAGTTTCTCCGGATGGTTCTGGACTGTTCTCAGGTCAGCGTTCAGTGGGACGAGACTCTAGAGCTGCACAGGCTCAGTCTGCAGGCTCTGAGTGGCTGCGTCCTCAATCAGCCCTGGATCCGCACCCTTATGAGGGATCAAGACTGGCTGAGGAGCGTCTGCTGTCGCCTGGGCTCTGACTCACAGGTCTCAGATCAGCTGGAGGAGCTGCGGCGTGCCCTGGAGAAACAGAAATGAGAAAAAAGGGGGCAGTTCACACAAAATGTACAGTTTCATGCCTCAGTTTCATTAGTAGAAAATTAAAGAAGATTTTGAGCTGAATCTGCTGGTGCTGGTGGTTCTTATTATGGCAGTGAATGGCCATTTCTTATTATTTAGTCATATAAGCATGTAGATCAATACGTTAATAAAGTAAATGAGTAGATAAAGTAAAGGAGAAAATAAGTAGGTAAGTGAGTAGGTAAATAAAGTGAAGATGCAAGTAAGTAAATAAAGTAAAGAAGTGAGAACTTAAGCAAGTAGTTAAATAAAGAAGTATTTAAGCAAGTAGGTCAATAAAGTAAAGTGAGTAAGTAGGTAATAAATTAGTAAGTAGGTAAATAAAGAAGTAGGTAAATTAAAGTAAATAAAGTAAAGAAGAAGGTGATTAAAAATAAAGTACTAAGTAAACATGGTAAAGTAGTAGGTGAATAAGTAGGTAATAAAGTAGTAAGTAGGTAAATAAAAGAAAGTAGTAAGTAGGTAAATGAAGTAGGTGAGTAGGTAAAAAAAGAAGTAAATATGTAGGTGAGTAATAAGGTAAATACAGTAAAGAAGTAGGTAAGCAAGTAGGTGAATTAAGTAAATAAGTGAGTACAATAAAAAGTAGGTAAATAAAGTAGGTGAGTTGGTGAATAAAGTAAAGAAGTAAAAGAGTAGGTAAGTAGATAAAAGTAAAAAAAAGTAGGTGAGTAAAAATAAAGTAGTAAGTAGGCATAGTAAACAAGTAGGTGAGAAAGTAGGTAAAAAAGAAGTAAATTAGTAGGTAAATAAAGTAAAGAAGTGAGTTGGTAAAGTGGGTGAGTAAATAAAGAAGTAAATAAGTAGGTGAGTAAATAGGTAAATAAAATACAGAAGTAGGTAAGCAAGTATGTCAATAAAGTACAGAAGTAGGAAATAAATAAGTAGGTGAGTTAGTAGGTAAATACAGTAAAGAAGTAATTAATAGGTGAGTAAAAAATAAAGTAGTAAGTAGGTATATTAAAGAAGTAGGTGAGTAAGTAGGTAATAAAGTAGTAAGTAGGTAAATAAAGTATAGACGTAAATAAGTAGGTGAGTAATTAGTAAGTGAGTAATTAGGTAAATACAGTAAAGAAGTGACTAAGGTAAGCAAGTAGGTCAATAAAGTAAATAAGTATGGCGAGTAAAAATAAAGCGTAAGTAGGTAAATAAAGTAGGTGAATAGGTTAATAAAGTAGTAAATAAGTAGGTGAGTAAAAATAAAGTAGTAAGTAGGAATAGTAAAGAAGTAGGCGAGTTGGTAAATAAATGAAGTGGGTGTGTGAGTAAAAATAAAGTGAGTAGATAAAGAAGTAAATAAGTAGGTGAGTAAGTAGGGAAATAAAGTAAAGTAGGAAAGTAAAGAAATAAATAAGTAGTTGAGTAAGTAGGTAAATACAGTAAAGAAGTGAGTATAAGTAGGTAATAAAGTAAAGTAAAGAAGTAAATAGGTAATAAAGTCGGTGAGTAGGTAAATAAAGAAGTAAATATGTAGGTGAGAAAGTAGGTAAATAAAGTAAAGAAGTTAGTAAGTAGGTAATCAAGTAGGTCAATACAGTACAGAAGTAGGTAAGTAAAGTAAAGACGTTGGTAAATGAGTAAGTAGGTAAATAAAGTAGGAAAGTAAAGAAGTAAATAAGTAGGTGAGTAAATAGGTAATAAAGTAAAGTAGTAAGTAGGTAAATAAAGTAAAAAAGTAGGTAATTAAGTAGGTAAGTAAATAAAGAAGTAAATAAGTAGGTGAGTAAGTAGGTAAATAAAGTACAGAAGTGTTGTTAGTAAAGTAGGAAAGAACAGAAGTTAGTAGGTAAGTGTAAAAAAGTAGGTAAATAAATAAAGTCAATACAGTCATGCAGTGACTAAGTGAAGCAGGTGAATAAGTAAATGAATAAATAAGTGTGCAGTCCAGAAACAACACGTCTGAGGAGAACAACGCAAGGAGAATAAAGGCGCAGTTCACACAAAGTACACTTTTTCTTCATTAAAGAAGATTTTGAGCTGAATCTGCTGTTCCTGGTGATTCTCAGATGGCAGTGAATGGTCATGTGTTGCTATTTGGTCATTAAGTGAGTAAATTAATGAAGGAATGTATGAATAAATACATTTTAAAAATACATTTTAGGACAAAAACACAAATCATAAGATACTGAACATTATGTATAATATTCTTTAATATTTGTATAATAATGTTTAATATTTAATAATCATCATTAAAGCTAGACTACATTCCCTCATAGACTGATAAACCACGCTGTGCAGTAAATCTAATAATGCGGTAAATAATCTTCAGTTTCCTAAACCCTGCTCAGTGTGTCATCAGGAGACATGCCTATTGCTCTCGACATGTTTGTGTGTCTATTTTTAATCTACAACATCTACATGTTTTCAGTTTAAGCTGATCATGTTGTGTGCATGTGTGTCCACTAGGTGGCGTCCTTACAGCAATCTCTACTGACAACCGGACAAAACCCCCTCTAAATCAGATCTACAATATTCAAGCGTGTCTGTTAGAATATGCACGTATTGCATGCTCGGTTGAAATGGTCAGTTCTTAATAACACAAGCTGCAGTTCCTGTGCTAAAACAATCAGCACTGTTTACTACACTGGGTTTCTTGGATGGGTTGCAGCTGGAAGGGCATCTGCTGCGTAAAACATATGCTGGACAAGTTGGCGGTTCATTCCGCTGTGGCCATCCCTGATTTATAAAGAGACTAAGCCGAACAGAAAATGAATGAATGAATACTGGATTCCACACAATGCATTTGTGTTGGCACAACAGGAACTTGTTCCTGTTTACAAATGTAAGTGGATTGAACATATAAAATTAAGTTGTGACAAAACAAATTCAAGATTAGAGTTCTAAATAGTTTGAACAAACAGCAAATGCTATTTTTCTTGAGTGAAATTCAAACTCAATCTTGCTTCAGTGGCATGACAAATATTAGATATGGCCAAACCGTTCATTTTCCTCCAGCGGAGTCCCTTTATTCATCAAGGGTCGCCACAGTGGAATGAACCGCCAACTATTCCAGCATATGTTTTACCAAGCGGGTCCCGGCTGGGTCAGTTGGTGTTTGTGTGTGGAGTTTGCATGTTCTCCCTGTGTTGGCGTGGGTTTCCTCCGGTTCCCCCCACAGTCCAAACACATGCGCTATAGGGGAACTGGGTAAGCTACTAAATTGGCCGTATGTATGTGTATGAATGAGATCGTATGGGTGTTTCCCAGTGATGGGTTGCAGCTGGAAGAGCATCCGCGGTGTAAAACCTATGCTGGATAAGTTGGCGGTTCATTCCACTGTGGCGACCCCTGATTAATAAAGGGACTAAGCTAAAAGGAGAGTGTTTGTAACTCTCTCTCTCTTTTTTGTCTCTCAATTCAATTTAATATTGCTTTTTTGGCATGATGACAGTAAATAATACAATATAAAAGATTTAAACATGTGAACAAATATAAAACATCACTATTTCAACCTTAACAATTCAAACAAGCAATAATTCATGATTCATTTATAACAATTTAGAATTATCATGTGTGGTGTTTGGAAGTCTCTCTCTCTCTCTCTCTCAGTATCTCTCTGTCTGCCTCGTTTTCAGTCGCTCTCTCTCTCTCTCTCTCTCTCTCTCTCTCTCTCTCTCTCTCAGTATCTCTCTGTCTGCCTCGTTTTCAGTCGCTCTCTCTCTCTCTCTCTCTCTCTCTCTCAGTATCTCTCTGTCTGCCTCGTTTTCAGTCGCTCTCTCTCTCTCTATCTCTCTCTCTCTTTGTGAGTGTGTGTGTGGTGTTTGTAACTCTCTCTCTCTCTCTCTCTCTCTCTCTCTCTCTCTCTCTCTCTTCTGTTTTTGTCAATAAATCCTCGGTGTGTCTCCGGTTTTCTCACCGGGCTCTCAGTCTCCTCTCTCCGGCTCGAGCTCAACAACAGACCCAAACTCATCCAGAAACATGTTGTGGAAATCACGGACCAAGACAGAGCCCTACTGTTCTCAGGTCAGTTGATTTCAGCTTCATCATTATTAGCCGAGACAGAACCCTGCTGTTCTCAGGTCAGTTTATCTCCGCTTTATTATTAATCGCCTCTCAGACTCCGTTAAACACAGCGAGTCTTACCACTGAAGGAAAGTTCTGTAGGGGAACAGCTCTATGCTGGGTTGTTTTAACCCAACGCTGGGTTATGTTATCCAACAGTTGGGGTTTAAAAAGTCTCGACGGTTTTGTTCATTATTTGACCCAACATTGGGTTAAAAACAACGCTGCATATTGTAAATTCGCCTATATCTAGAGTAGAATAAGATCTAAATAGAAAAGTGTTGGGTTGCTGTAACTCAACGTTTGGTTGTTTTATCAATTAGATTTAAATGACACTGTCTATATTTGACCCAAAGTTGCGTTACAACAACCCATAATGTCTACTAGAAAGTGTTTTAAAAACATTAAGCGATGTCTCTTTCATTAACAATATTTAGATTTGACTAATTATTTAATTTAATTGAAAATATATTTTAAAATGACGCTTATTTGTCTGCATAAAAAGTTTAACTTGAACTTATTTACCACATTTTAAGTAATATTTAGATTAATTTGATAAAATAAAAAATAGATAATTGTATTCTACTTAAAAAATAGGCTTAAAACCTTATTTAACTTTAATTAAATGCATAAAATGATCTAATAATAATTAGTACAGCGCGTTATAATGTTAACCATCAAATAAAATTAAAGAGACAAAACAATAATAACCAGTAGCCTAAAGATATAATATTACCCATCGAATATTCTTAAAAATAGAAAAACTACGTTTATTTTCTACCCAAAAACAGACTTGAAACCTTTTTAACATCAAATAAATGCATTAATAATCAGTAAAGTACATTAATGTTAACCATCAAATAAAATACAAAAGAAGAAACGCTATGCTTATTTTCGACTCAAAAACAGACTCGAAACCTTATTTAATTTACATAAATGCGATATTAATCAGTAAAGTACAATATAGCCAATGTTAACCATCAATTAAAATAAAGAATAGGAAACGCTATGCTTATTTTCAACTCAAAATCATATTCGAAACCTTATTTAAGATCACATAAATGCATTATTAATCAGTAAAGCACGATATAGCCAATGTTACCCGTCAAATAATATAAAAAAGAGGAAAGATAATGCTTATTTTCGACTCAAACCTCATTTCACTTCAAACTAAATAAAAAAAAACTCTAATAATAACCAATACAGCGCGATATAATATCAACCCTTAATTCGCAGCAAACAGCATGCATAAAGGAGCAGGGTGTTTGCAGTGAGTGAATTAATTCGGAGGAATTAATTAATGTCCCTTTAAGGTGGTCTCTTCACCCCTCCCCCACCGCGCAGCGCTATAAAAGCGGCGTTAGCGCAGAAACAGGGACAGTCGGAAACTGCGCATCTCCATGGCGCACCGCAGCTTTTACTGACTCTAAAAAAGCAGACCAGGAGAGCTCAGTGTCCAGATGTTAGTCCACTCCTACTCCAGCATGGTGAGTTCAAGAGATCCAGACTAAAACTTCTTTTGATGGAGATGTGATTGTCATGTGAGATCAGCTGAGCGCGTAAAGTGCGTAAAGCGCGTGTGGTGTGATGCGAAACAAGTGCTGCTTGGAAATATGTCACATGCTGCCATTGGTCTAAAGAGAGAGATGTATAACAGACTGTCTTTGTGTCACGGTGACTTGGAAATTATATCTTGGACAAAGGGTGTTATTAAAGTAGGTTGGAGAGAGAGAGGAAAAAAAGGCAGACAGAAACTTCGGGTTGATTGATGTTGTGATCGCATGATAAGTTTTCTCACACTCACTATATTTGACAACAAACAAACAAAAAAATGCTGAATTATTATTATTATTATCATTTTGTTACTTTGTTCAAGCTAAAAGAGATCGTGAATATAAAAACAAATAAATGTAAATTAAAATGTCCTGTTCTAGACGTATGAAATGAAAGATGCTGTCATACTGATTTGTTATAGGGTTTCAGTCGTTTATATTATCTTACTAAAAATATCCGAGCCACTGGAAATATAACAGACGCATAAAATGCACAATTATTAGGCCTGTGTGTGTTCAATGCCTGTAATCCCGCATTAACCGCGTGCATTGTGTCTATCAATCCTGATTGTTTAAAACATCAACGCACCTGGCACAGAAATGGGGCTCTTATTATTATTTTTAGAGCATTTGTTTAATCCATCAAAATTTTTAATTAATAATGGAGTGATTAACGACCATTAACGTAATACACTGAAATGCAGAATTAAATTAATGTAGAATCTGCTGTAGATGTGAACGCATTACATGTAATGCTATAAATTAAGCTAATAACCATACTTATAAACACCCTTTTTTTAAATTCTGTGTAACTCAACTGCGGGTTAAATATGGACAAACCCAACAGTTGGGTTGCGATAACCCAGTATATTTTAGTGCAATGAACACAAGACTGCATATAAATGAGCTCAATAAAGTCAAAACTTGAGCATTTTATATCTTAAACCTATAAAATAATGACTTTTGCACATTGGATGTAAATATTTATTGTTAAGAAAGTTTTCGAAAAATAAAAAATGACACTGAAAAAACAGCATTGGGTCACATATGGACAAACCCAGTGGGATCAACTTAACAATCAAAACAAATGATTTAACGCAACTGATGGGGTTGTCCATATTTGACCCACCGTACGCAATAAACACTAGAGTGCATATCAATGAGCTCAAGTCAAATCCACAAATACTTCTATCTATGATAATTGGATTTTTGATGTTTAGAAATTTGAAGTGTTTTGTTACATTAAATAGATCAAATGCACAAAAAAAGAGTTGTTTTAACCAAAGGCTTTGTCAAATATGAACAAAAAAAATTGCTTTATTTTTTAAATTAAATTTTAACCCAAAGGTTGTGTTTGTTCATATTTGACCCAACGCTGGGTTACGCAATAAACACGACGGTGCATATGAGGGAGCTCAATATAGGGTCCACAATTTTATCTGTAATAAATCATAATTGCAAATTTGATGTAATTAATAGAGTGTTTTTGTAAGATTTTAAGCTGTTAAAATGTTATTTTGACCCAGACTTGTCAAATATAAACCAACCCAAAGTTGGGTTCATTTTTTAAGTTTAATTTCAATGACTCTTTTAAACCCAAATGTTTTGATGGTCATATTTAACCAAAGGTTAGGTTACGCAATAAACCCGTGCACATTAAAGAGCTCAATATAAGTCCACAAGTTTCTGTCTAAAAATATAGAAATATATAATTGCACTTTTAATTTAAGAGTTTTTGTCTTATTAAACTGATTAAATGTTCTTTTAACCCAACGTTGGGTCAAATGAACAAACCCAAGGTTGGATTAATTTATGTCGTTTAATTTCAATTACACTTTTAAGCCCAAATGGTGAAATTGTTGATTCATTCATTAATTTTCTTTTCAACTTTATTAATATGGGGTCGCCACAGCGGAATGAACCGCCGAGTTTGTTCATATTTGATCCAATTTGTGTTACGCAAAAACACGCCATATAATAAACAAAATTTGAAAACTTGTTTCTACAAGTATATATCAATGTCAAGTTAAAACAACTGTGATTTATTGGTCTCTTTAACTGGTGCTTCATACCTGACTGCCTGGTGTTTGTTTCCCCGCATGCAGGAGCGCGCGGACGGGCTGTCCAGCTCCTCTCCGGGCGGCCGGCTCTCCCAGCTCTCCCAGCTGAATCAGGCCGCTTATTCCTCAGCTCCCCCGCTCTGCCACACCCCGGCCTCAGACTTCCAGCCGCCCTACTTTCCGCCTCCGTACCCGCAATCTTCTCTGTCATACTCCCAGAGCCAGGACGGCGGATACCCGCATTTACCGGAGCCGTACCCGTCGCTGAACTCGCTGCACCAGCATCAGCAGGCGGCCTGGCACTCGCAGCGCTCGCGCTCGGAGGATGCCGGTCTCCTGTCGCAGCCGCACCGAGCGCTGAGCCTCGACCCGCGGCGGGAGTATCCAGGAGTCCCGCGACTGCTGACCCATGGGCTGGGCGACGGAGCTGCGGCGCTCGGGGACGGGCCGCTGGGGATGCACGCGGTGCACCACGGCCTGGATGATATTCAGGTGAGTTCAATCACTCTTGTATGTGTTTAACTATAATATGCTTTAAAATGTTGGGTTGTCATGGTTAATATAACATTTAAATTACAGTTTCTACATATTTGAGCCAATGTTGTGTTACAACCAAGCTTTTTTTTTTATTTCTGCTTAAAAATGTTGGGATAAACATGTTTTACTTATAACTGAAATGACACTTTTAGCAATGGTTGTGATTGTTGATTGACCAGCAACCCAGTGTGTTTTGTTTGATTTTATTTTTTATTTCTGCTTAAAATGCTGGGTTGTCATTTTTCAATACATTTAAATCACAGTTTTTAACCCAACAGTTTGTCCATATCTGACCCCACGTTGTTACAACAACCCAGCATTTGTATTTTATTGTAAATATTTGCTTATGAATGCTGGGATGAAAAGTTTTCACTTAAATTTGTATTACACATTTAACCCAGTGTGTGGGTTTTTCACATTTGACCCGACGTTGGGTTACAGAACAACCCAGCATGTTTATTTTTTTATTTCTGCTTAAAATGCTGGGTTGTCATTTTTAAAATAAATGTAATTAAAAAGTTTTAACCCAACAGCTTTTCCATATTTGACCCAACGTTGTTACAACAACCCAGCATTTTTATATTTTACATTTTTGCTTAAAGATGCTGGGATGAAAAACTTTCACCTAAATTTAAATGACACTTTTAACCCAATGAGTGGGTTTGTTCATATTTGACCTATTGCACAGCAACCCAGCATGTTTTATTTTTATTTCTGCTTAAAAATGCTATTTTTTTCCTCAATACAATTTAAATGCCACTTTTTCACCCTATAGTTTGACCCGACGTTGGGTTAAAACAACCCAGAATTTTTAGAGCGCAATGACGATCAACAATAAATTGAAATCCTAAATATGAATATATATAGGCAGTGTTGGTATTACAAGCCCAGTTATAGTATAATATTAAGATTTTATAATTATTAAAAACATCAGTTTGATTCAGATTCAACCTAGATTTAATAATCATATTTAGCCAACAATATTTGCAAAAATAATAGCCAAAATACAAGAAACAGAATAAATTTTTATATTATTTTATGCACATGTGAGCTTTCAGTTATCTATTTATTTTGCATTTTAGAATGTGTTTTATATGCAATTTCACTGTATAAGCTACTCGAGAAAATAAAAAGTAAAACATCGTTTGTACACAATGTGGAAAAATTAAAATGTAATATTTATTATTATATTCCGTGATCGAATATTTACACAAGTATTAAAGTAATTTACCACAAAGACACCTCGTGACATAATGTAAAGAAACACGTAACACGAGTGATTATTTAATTAGGCATTTCTAAAATGCTGATGTCATAAAAAAGTAATACTTTAAATGTAAATATCAATATCAAAAATTTGATTTTGTATACATTTTAAAAGCTTTGTGCAATGGTGATGTGTAACACAATGCAATTTTCAGCTTCAGAGAATTTAAATAAACACTGACTTTTATCCAACAGAAATAAAATTACGTGAGAAAAATATGAAATGTGTTAGTTTAGTCCATAACTTTAATTAACTTGCCAAATATTTAAAGCAAAACGAACAAAATGAAGCAAATAATGACACAAATCTTACGAGTAATTAATTTAAGCTTCAGAACTACAAAGCTCCGGGAGATTATTGGTGTTTAAAAGCGCTATTAAAAGCGAAAATGATGAAATGCAGTTAATAAATCAATTTCTAAACAGCTAAATTGGCATATAAACACAATCAGTCATAATAGACACCTAGGAAAGCTATTGAGTATAAATTAATTTAAAGTGTTCTCATGATAATAGAAAAGTCAGCGCCATTATCTCAAGAATTAAGCTGACAGGAGTGAACTGGTGGAGGTGCGTGCGTGTGTGTGTGTGCTCGTGCGTATGTGTGTGCGTGTGTTTGTGTATGTGTGTGTGTGTGTGTGTGTTGCGCAGGTGCAGTATCTTCAAACTCAGCGCGTCGAATCGCTTTTCTCGGCCAATCACTCAACACACACTGAGACTCTGATGTCCAGCATTTCCGAGAACACACGCACACACACACACACACACTTCACAGCAAAACACGCCTGATCGTTTAATTCAGCGCACAGCAAACTACAGATCTGCGTGGAGTTATTGTCCTGAGACTTTAAATGCGCACTGTTGCTTTTTAGAGTGGTCTGTGTTGTTTTATTCACTAATTCTGTGTTGCTTTTATATTTATATGCTGTTTTCTAATATGCAAAGTAAAATTATTCACTCTACAATGCTGGAATGTATTAACCAATGTTGGGTCAGACAAACCCAAACGTTGGGTTAAAATTGTGTGATTCAAATTTAATTGCAAAAACGAACCCGATAATGGGATTTCCAGCTCAGCATTTGTAGATGTTATACATTAAACAGACACTAAATTGAGCATTAGTCATACATATTTGTAAAATCCTCTTTATAGAGATCCCTAATATTGATGTTTTTCAGCAAATATCAAAGTTTAAATAAAAAGTTGCACAGAAAAAAGTGTTGCATGCAGAACTGTTGCAAACCATTTATTTGTGTTGAATTTAAACAAACAAAGTAAGTTTAATAATGTTCAACTTAATTTGTTTGTTTAAATTCAGCCCAAATAAATTGTTTATAACCACTTAACGTAAAAAAAAATTTGAGTAAATCCAAGGAATCATCTTTGATTAATTGTTTTCAGTGTGGGCTGTTGATTTCATCCACTAATGGGTAAAATATGGATAAACTAAAACAAATGTCCATAAAAATAGACAAATGCACAAAAAATATACATAAAAAACATTTTTTTTGCCAATTAATTAGTATTTTGGTGGTTAAAGAGTCATTAAACATGTCAGCATGTGCCAGAGAATGATAAGCCTGAAAATAATGTTCATTATTGATAATAAATGTTAATAAATGTTAATTATAGGAGTCTTTTGTAAGTCTTAGTAAAATGCAAGATCCAAACCTCTGGGTTAATTTTTCAAGTAAACTTTAAACCCCATGGTTTTGTCCATTTTGACCCAACGTTGAATTAAAACAACCCAGCATTTTAAACTAAATCATTTTTAAGATGAGTCCTTGTGTTGATATGGGGATGTTTTATAGTCAACATCACATGCTGGGTTGCTGATTTCACTCATTGCTGGGCCAAATATGGACAAACCCAACCTTTGGGTTAATTCTCGGATCCACTAAATTGAACATGTACACATAGACATCAACTACAGTACTATATACCTGCAGATTAACTATGCTTATATATAATAAGTTTAACTGGTAAACACTGTAGTTAATTAGTTAAAGTTATTATTAATTAGTGTATGATAGTTGGGGGGCAGAACGGTGGCTCAGTGGTTAGCACTGTGGCCTCACAGCATAAAGGTTGCTGGTTTGAGCCCCGCCTGGGTCAGTTGGTGTTTCTATGTGGAGTTTGCATGTTCTCCCCGTGTGGTTGTGGGATTCCTCCGGGTGCTTCGGTTTCCCCCACAGTCCAAACACATGCGCTATAGGGGAACTGATCAACTAAATTGGCCGTAGTGTATGAGTGTGTGTGAATGAGTGTTTCCCACTTCTGGGTTGCAGCTGGAAGGGCATCCGCTGCATAACACATATGCTGAAATAGTTGGCAGTTCATTCTGCTGTGGAGACCACTGATACACAAAGGACTAAAGGAAAATTAATGTATGATGGTTCATTTGTATAATTAGCACTTGTTGTGTGTATTGCCTCTTGTTGAATCGCTGAATGCCGAAATTGTAAGTCGCTTTGGACAAAGGCATCTGCTACATGACTAAATATAATAAAGCTTTAGTAACTAATAATCTTCACTTGTCTGATTTGATTATAATGCAATAATGTTCACCTTTTGTACAATATTAATAGTGAAAAGCGCTTTATAAATCAACTTGAAAACCTTTGAAAAATTAAACTTTAACCCAACAGCTGCGGTTTGTCCATTTTGACCAAACATCATTGAGTTACAACGACCCAGCATTAAGCCTTTTTAGAGTCCAATGCAATGACTGTTTATTTAGCTGAGCTTATTTACCATGCTGCTGTGTTGTGCAGGGTCTGGAGGAGGCCTCAGCGCTGGGCATCCTGGATCACTCCGTCATCAAGAAAGGTGAGAGTCTGCATGTGATCTCTGAAATTTAAAGTAGAATTTAAGAGCTCTCCAGCTGCAGGGAGATTTCATGTGCTGCTCACACACCCTGCATTAAAGGACTCAGTCACACACGCACACACATGCAATTTCATTTGAAGTCCAGAAATCCTGTAGCTCTGCGTGTGCTGTTGGCTTCAGGCGGTCTCTGTTAATGAACTGTTGATGGTCATATGAGAGAAAGAGGAGGATTAGAGCAGGAGAGGAGGACGAGAGCAGATCCTAAACTGATGAAGAATTCACAGCATCACTATTCCAGTACACTTATCAGGAAAATGGTGGAGAGTTAATAAGAACAGCACTTTCTGTAGTGCGCTCACACTTTAAAACATGAGGGGTTGTGCAAATCTAACATTGGATCAGATTTGGACAAACACAATGTTGGATTAATGGTTTTATTTCGTTTTAATTACGTTTTACCCAAGTAGCACTGAAAAAAAATATAGACACTTTTTATTACTATTATGGTTTTGAGTTGCATTATGGGATCTTGATGTTTCTTCCAACAACCTTTAATCTTTAAAAGCTGGAAAAAGTGACTTTTATTCAGATCCGGCTCCAGCTTAGAACTTTAGGGTGGGCCAAAAAATAAATATATATATATATACACATATACATACATATATATATATATATATATATATATATATATATATATATATATATATATATATATATATATATATATATATATATATATATATATACACACACGTATATATATAAACATATATATACATATATACATATATATACATATATATACTCTGGAATCTGCGTCATGGTGAGTCGCGGTCTGCTGTGGACAAAAACACATTAAATATATTCAATATATTTTCACATTTTTCGCAGAAGCTCCATTAAATATAGTGGGGTAAAATAAATGCTCATATCATAAAGACATGGCGGGGGGAAATGTAATGTAAGGCAGTGCTTCTTGTACAATCTGAGACCCACTTTATATCAGATATCACTCAGCCAGTGGAGATCGCTGACTTTTAAAGAAAACAGACCTTAAACACTGATTTTTGCATTGGCATACAGTTCACCTGAAGCGCTTAACCCAGGTTACTGGCAAATTAAAAGTCCTATTAGCATGCTTATTGGGTATATGCCGAGCTAGTGTAGTTCCCATACTTATAAACTGCTGGTGTCCGGTTATTGTGTTTTTTTTTCCATTTTAAACGACAACTTTTACAGCATCGATGTTGTAATATATAGGGGAATTGGGTAGGCTAAGTTGTCCGTAGTTTATGAGTGTGTGTGGATGCTTCCCAGAGATGGGTTACGCCTGGAAGGGCATCTGCTGCGTAAGAAAGTGTGCTGGATAAGTTGGCGGTTCATTCCGCTGTGGCGACCCTGGATTAATAAAGGGACTACACTGACAAGAAAATAAATGAATGAATGTTTAAACTGTAAACTGTCAATACTATTACCACAATTACAAAAGGAAAACTGAATATTTCATTAATCCCACACTGGACAATTTAAAAATGTTTTACTCCTGTTTCACTAGTATCTTGTGATCTTTGCAGTTAGAGCAAGTAGAATGTTTGGCTAAAAATCTGTATCTGTGTAAATCTGTCAATTCGGGTCCAATGTAGTAACTACTAGGGATGTAACGGTATCAGAATTTCACGGTACGGTAATACCTCGGTATGAATGTCACGGTACGGTATTTATTGAATCATTTACAGGAAAAAATAAAACTTATGAAAATACTCCAAAAAAGTGCCAAAAGTGTCAATGACATACAAATTAGCCATCTATCTGTAAGCTTTGAAACAGGAACTTCAATTTTAATAACAAAAAATTATTAAACCATGTAAAAAAATAAAGTTTCAATTTAGTATTGTTGAAAACTCATCACATTCAACATTTAATCACTCACTCACTCAGATAGAGATGGGTTTAAAGGAAAATTATCATATAAATATAATCTGGTAAAAGCTGGTATCTCTGGGCATGTCCCCTGCAACAGAAAAAAACCCTCTCATTTGGGACTGAGGTTTCTGGGTTAAGAGAGATATGACTTGGCCCAGGTTGACAGCAGTGGGTAACGTTGTGCATTGTCTTTCCCCCACTTGAGAGGACAAACCATGAGTGAGAGAGGTCTCATGTCTGCATCAATCTGAACAGTGTGCTGTGTTTCTGCAGTCTCCATGACTGATTATTAGTCGTATTCCCCAACTTGCAGGCACATGCACACACAGGGCTCAACCTGCAGTGCATATGCCCTTTTTAGTCTTGGATAGAAAGTTCCCTTCCAAAATGATCAAAAGTGCCCCCGCGACGCGACACACCCTCCGTCCCCGCTTTACAGTACGCGCGCGACAACTCAGCTGATAAGAACTCGCGCGACAACACCGCTATTCAGTACGCGCGCGACAACACAGCTGATAAGAACTCGCGCGACAACACCACTATTCAGTACGCGCGCTGCGACAACACCCGCTTTAGGGTTTTCCAGCTCTTTTTTGATCCCCGCTTCTAGCAGCACACTCCATTTCTGCATTACTGGATCTGTAGCGACAACAGACCGCAAAGGATGATGGTCAAGCCTGGGCTGATGGGAATTGTAGTTTTCGCTACCTCCCGTTCGCTTCATTCGCCTGAGCAAATTTTCTCAGAAGACCTATAGTTTTACCGAGTCATGCGACTACGGTAATATCGAAAAAAATTAATATTGCGGTATGACGGTATTTACAATACCGTTACATCCCTAGTAACTACCCATTAGGATTTTTCTTGCCATGATTTCTTGTTATTTCTACACATTACTAAATTAATCCATAACAGAGTTAACAAACAATATATAACAAAATATATTCCCTAAAATTAAAACATTTAATCATTTATGATTGAAAAAGGCTGAATTATAAAAACTAAACATGCTTTCTAAAAGATGCTGGAAATAATTGCTGTTTTTAAAGAGTTTTACTCCTTAACTTTTTGAAATGTGAAATATACCTGCAATAGAATCCCCCATATTGCTTTTAATGCATATACCAATGTTTACATTAACTGCAGGGTTGTCACGAATGCTGGAATTTACAACTTGAAGATGATACCTTCATAAACTATCAACATTCAATACCATTTTCTATATTTTGTGATTTAAAAAATCTTTATATTCATTTTCTTTTCGGCTTAGTCAACATCAAAACTAGACAGAGCAGAGATCAACATCCCATAATGCAATTCACAACCACAAATAAACCCAAAATACTGAAACTGTTCAATAACAGATGTCTTACAGTGCACAACCCAGCATATTTTACAACACTTGCATGCATTAATTTTAGATCCACTGCATATACATGTGTATTTAGAGATCCTGCGTATTTACAGAGCAACAGAATGCATCAATGATGTGTTCACGGCTGTAGGAGGTGTGTTTGTGTGTGTGTGTGTGTGTGTTAAGAAAACCAAAGCCTACATGAATAAACGGATCTGCTTTCAGCTCATGGCCAAAATCACACATGAACATAACAGAAACACTAAGAGCGTGAGTTATGGGCCGATATTTGGAAGTGACGATACATTCTGTGCTCAATTACACTATTTGAGGATAATCATGTAAGGCATAATGCACATCCAGCCGCACTGTGGCTCAGTGGTTAGCACTGTGGCCTCACAGCAAGTAGGTTGCTGGTATCTAGTCCCGGCTGGGTCAGTTAGAGTTTGCATGTTCTCCGTGTTGGTGTGGGTTTCCTCCGGGTGCTCCGGTTTCTCCCACAGTCCAAACACATGCGCTATAGGGGAACTGATCAACTAAACTGACCGTAGTGTATGAGTGTATAAGGTGACGATTTAAAGGCTAAATCAGGGTAAAGTTAGGGTAAATAATTGTATAACAATGGTTTGTTCTGGAGACAATCCAAAACTAATATATGTTGTTAATGTTGATATGAGTTGTTAATGCTTCCAGATTTAAAAGAGTACCTCAACAATGATTGTACCCACAAAAATGTGAGGGTCCATTAAACGGCATTACATATTTTCGGCTGGTAAATTTTCGGTACTATCATGAGCACACTTTTAGATTCCCATTGTTGCATATTTCTACTGTGTGACTGGCTCTTGTATCAATATAGGAGTAAAGCCTAAACTCAAGGACAAAATCTTTGAACACAGAAGCTACACTCCAATTATAATGGGTTGTTTTAACCTGGACAAACTCAACTGTTGTGTATAAAATGTCATTTAAATTTAATAAAACAAAATGAACCAATGTTGGGTGATTCCACCTTTGACCCAACGTTGGGTTAAAACAACCCAGCATTTTTTTGAGTGTAGAGTCTTTTACTACTTGATCAAATGACACTTACTAAATTTAAGAACAAAATCTTTGAACACAGAAGCTACACTCTAATAACGCTGGGTTGTTTTAACTAACATTGGGTCTTATATGAACCCAATGTTGGTATTATTTGTTTAATTAAATTTAAATGACACTTTTTAACCCAACAGTTGGGTTTGTCCATGTTTGACTTAACGTTTGGTTAAAAACAACCCAGCAAGTCCAGTCCTTTACTATTTGATCAAATGACACTTCATCTAAACTCAACGACAAAATCTTTGAACACAAAAGCTACACTCTAATAATAATAATAGGTTGTTTTAACCTGAACAAACTCAACTGCTGTGTATAAAAATGTCATTTAAATTTTAATTGAACAAATCAACCCAATGTTGGGTTATTCCAGCTTTGACCGAATGTTGGGTTAAACCCACACAGCATTTTTTAAAAATATTTCATCAAATGACATTTAATCTAAACTCAAGGACAAAATCTTTGAACACAGAAGCTACACTCCAATAACGCTGGGCTGTTTTACCCAAATCATTGGGTCAAGTATGAGCAAACACAAATGTGGTGTACACTTGGGTTTGACCATATTTGACCCACCATTTGGTTAAAACAACCCAGAGTTTTTTTGAGTCCAGAGTCGTTTAAT